AGAGAGAGAGAGAGAGAGAGAGAGAGAGAGAGAGAGAGAGAGAGAGAGAGAGAGAGAGAGAGAGAGAGAGAGAGAGAGAGAGAGAGAGGTGGGTCGGGTAGGGGAAGAGTTTCTGGGTGACACACCCTGAAACCATAACCGGTGTGGTCATGATACGATGTGTGTGAAATACTGGGATATGTTGAAAAGCTCGTTGATCTGCTTTGCCCGATTTGACGCTCCCTGACCTGGAGACTCACAGTCGCAAGCTGTTCTCTTTTTTTTTTTTCTTTTCTCGTGAGGCAGCCTCGAGGGAGTAAGTTTTTACGAGAGCCCGGTCCGGCGTCCGCTGTTGAGATTCCCGCTGTTTTCTAGTTCCAAAAGAAATAATAATAATAATAATAATAAATAAAGGAAGAGCAGAGGGCTCGAGAGATTAAGGTTTACCTTTGAAGGCTAACCTGAGAACAGGTTACACCAAAGCTGGGTAGTGGTCCCAGTGATACGATTCACACTGGGGGCGAGGTCCCACTAGCAAAGAGGCTTGGATTGAACACCTGAATCTGGACTTGTTTGTCGAAAGGTGCAGAATGTCGAGATTGAACTGCTTTTCCGCATCTCTGCTTAAAACACGTCCAGATTCAGGATTTTTATCCAACCCTCTTTGCTACTGGGACCTCACCCCGGTGTTGTTTGTGAGGATTGCCCCATCATCATCATTTTGCCGCCCGCTGAGCAATTGCTTTGACAAATGAATCTAATGTGTTTTTTTTTTTTTTCCCCCGAAAAGAAGGAAAAACAAAAGGTTCCAGGTCTCACCGTGACGTGTCTGGAACAAAAACAGGGGGCCCGGCGAGGTCCCACTAACAAACGGGATTGGATTAAGCGCCAGAATCTGGACGTATAGTACGCAAAGATGCAGAACAGCAGTCCGAATCGCCATTTTTCTGCACCTCTCACTAAGTGAAGGGGCTAAAAAAAAAAAAAAAGAGGAGAAGAAGACGAAGTGAAGGGGGTAAAAAAAAAGAAAACACTGCATACTCACATGTCCTTGCGCAGGAAGAGGGCGGGGATAGCCGCGCCTAGAACGGCTATGGCGATTGCTCCGGCAATGAGATAGTTGGTTCCGCCGACCACATCCCCGTAAGCGCAGGTAACATGCGCACTGCGCGCGCCGCTGGTCTGGTCGCGCACGTGCGACAAGAAGTCGGCGCTGTCCAAGCTGCCGATTCTCAGCGTATTTGCGCCCACGCCGGGATGCGCAGCAGGAAATGTGACACGCCGACATCGTCGCGCATCGCGCGACGACAACGCGCTCGTGCGACCGGCGGCTGCAAGACAGCCGGGCACCGCTGCCGCCAACGTGGAAGCTGCAGAGGCCATAGTCGATTCCTCCCCTTCCCCGCGCTCCTCCTCCTCCTCCCCCTCTTCCCCCTCCTCCCTCCCCCGCTTTTCGCGAGATTGACTTCAGCAAAGTCTTCTCAGCTCAACCTCCTTCTTTGGCTGTGCTCCGAGCTACCGCTGCGACTGTCGCGCTAGCTTTAAGCTTTGGCTATGGCGTCAAAGCTGCAGCTTTGGCTATGGCGTCGAAGCTTCGGCTATGGCCTCGGCTGACAGCTGCGGCTTCGGTTCCGGCTACCTCTTCTTCGCTGCGAGCGCTTGCGTTTCACTATGGACTTACGGGTCCGCTAAAAAAAAGCTTCCTTGGCTATGGCTCACGCACGCGCTTTATTTATTATAATAAAAAATTCCTGTCCTTTCCAAAATAATTTCACCGGCGATGACTTTGATTGCATTATCACGTTACAGTTTTTTTTTTCTTCATAGAAACGATTTACCTCACTATTCATTGATATTGTTTACAGCGCTGGCAGCACAGCTCAATCCCGCGAGCGTTCAGCGATTCGCTACGCTTGAGAGTGGACACGGCCTATGGTCTCTCTCTCTCTCTCTCTCACGCGAGCGTTCAGCGATTCGCTACGCTTGAGAGTGGACACGGCCTATGGTATCTCTCTCTCTCTCTCTCTCTCTCTCTCTCTCCACCCTAGATTCCGCCGATCGGCGGTTGAGAAGCCAGGCTTTTCCTTAGATTAACGCCGTCTTCCAGAAGAAACAAGAAAAAGGAAAAAAAAAAAAAAAAAACAGAGTTTAACGCCGTGCTGGCGGTCATACCTGGCTTCGGAGCTTTATCCGGTCTTGCACTTATCCGTTTTCGGTTCGTCGAATCGAAATTAACCGCGGGGCTGTGCACGTGTTCCGTCCCGTGCCACTTCCTTTTTTTGCGTTCTTTTTTTTTCCAAAACAAGGACTCGAGCTCGGCCAGTAGGTTCGCGTGCCACTTTCCTCCTCTTTTTTATTGAAAAGGGCGACAGACTCGAGATATCACGTGAAGAAAAGAAATTATATTACAAGCCGGGAATCGGTTCCCGGCGGACATATAGTTATTCTGGATTCGAACTCACGACTTCTTTTCTTTTGAATAGTTTATGGGTGTAGATGAGCCCGTTGGTCGGACAATTCTTGGAAAATGCCCTCGTCTTCTTATTGGGGAACAACCATATGTGTATATATATTTTCTCTCACCTCACATCTGCCATGTCATGGAACATATCTTTTTCCCTTTCACCACCTACCGCTACTACTAAGGGCGAGATCCCACTGGCAAAAACGATTGGAATAAGTGTCCGAATGTGGACGTGTTTGCGGACAGGTGCGAAATATTGTGATTGATCTACTTTTCTGCACCTCTGCGTGGAACACGTCCAGATTCAGACACCTCTTCCACTCCTCTTTGCCAGTGGGATCTGGCCCTAAGGCTCTACAGGGAACCCCTGCAAGTATATCTTTCTACCTCTCTTCCATGAAGGGAGGTTACTTCTCTCAGTGGAGGGAGGGAGGTCAGGGCATGTTTGTCCCTTTCCCCTCCTGGTGTTTAGCGTGCAGGGTTGGGGCCTCCAGTGGGGGCCTGGCTAACACACGGAACCAGCATTTGCCAGCCCCAGTGGGGGCCTGGCTAACACACGGAACCAGCATTTGCCAGACTGAGTAACTGTGAAGATGAAAAGGGTCGGCCAATTTGACTCGCTTACATAAAAAAAAACGAGTAGCAGCCTTGAGATACGGATAATTTGCAAGATACCCCCATAAGTTGACATCCATGCCAGAATGTCCTTAAAAGATGTGATTAGGGTGGAATGCTCCCCTGACAAAAAAAATATTTTTTGGGCCCATACGCGCAAGGTTCCGCTCACGTGCAGGAAACCAGATCCTATTCAAGTACAGTCGTAAAAAAAAAATCTTTTGTGAAATACCTCTAGCGTCCGTAAAATGACTGTGTACCGCGGAGGTGCAGCCTGGAGGGTGGAGGGGAACAGAGAGCCCTAGACATGAGTCAGAACGCATTACAGCGGTCTGCCGGCCGTGAGGAGGACAGCTTTGGTGCGAAGGTTTTCGGGCATTTTTTTCAGAGGGATAAATTGCGAAATACCCCTAAAAGATGTGGGTAGAGCGGAATGCCCCTCTGACAAAAAGAAAAAATTGTGAAATACCCCTAGCATCGCTTGGACCCCCATCTTTGCAATGGTAGGTACCGGGTACCGTCCAACTTTGCAAAATGCCCCCAGTACTTGCCAACTTTTCGATCGCGAAGATCAACGGCCAGCAACGGGGAAGCGAGTCGATTGGGGCCTGGCTCCAGTGCAGGACTCTGCAATCCACTGACATCCCTTTCTTTCTTTTTCTTTTTTTTTTTCTTGCCAGCTATGATGATTTTTTTTATTTTTTTTTTTAATTATTTTTCAAACAAAACATCCTGTGGAAGCCTGGGGTCCTGTGGTGGTAAGAGAACCAATTTTGTTCCCCCTCTCAAAGTTCAGTCCTTGAGCAGCGATTGAATTTTGAGGGGAAATTTTCAAAAAAGACGAATCCAGCCAATCCAGACTTCAACTGGGGTCAAAAAAAAAAAAAAAAAAAAAAAAGGGACTTCCATCTAAAGTCAGAGACCAGTCAGAGAGCATTAGAGAGCAGTTAGAGAGAAGTCAGAGAGCAGTTCTCCTCCCTCCTTATCCTCCTCCTCCCCTCTACACTCATCCTTCTCCCTCCTCCTCCCTCCTCCTCTTCCTCCTCTTCTGTAGCGGACCCACCAGGTGTGGTGCTCCGCTAGTGGTAGAGATGGAGTTGGAGGAAGAAGGGGGAGCAAGATGACGCACAGCGCAGCTCCCACGCAGGACTCCAACGCACGTACTCCAAAAATGTGCAAGTGAAGAATCCGCTCGAAAACAGACAAAGGCTGGGGTATACCCCAGCGGACTGACGAGACTGGACTGGACTGGCTGGTACCAACAGAGGTACCGGCTTGGACTGGACTGCCCCGAATAAAACACAGGCCTGTGAGAACAGGCCAAGGGGCTGGTCTCACAGGCCCACCGGAGGTCCGCTACACGATCCTCGGCCTGTGATGGATCGCCTAGATACAAGCACGCTTCCGCCAAAAAGCGGAACTCTACCAAAGAAAAGAAACCTGAGTAGTCTAGGATGCRGAGMAAGCTCCATGCKGAGYCCATGCGATGCAACCTAGGATATAAAATGTCACAAAACAACAATGTCACAGCTAACAGCCTAAGTAAAAGCAAAAACAACTAACTAGCATACATGTCCTAGGAAAGCAAAAACAACTAACTAGCATACATGTCCTAGGAAAGCAAAATCAACTAACTAGCATACATGTCCTAGGAAAGCAGAAAGTGGTGACAACGAGATCCTAGAATGTTGGAGGCAGTAGCCTCAGTCTGGGAACAATTAACTAGTGTATCAGTCCTAAGAACAGCAAAAGCAGAACAACTAAATCCTAGAAATGTCAGAGGCAGTAGCCTCAGTCTGGGAGCAACAAAGCAACAACAAGTCAATCATATGTCACATGAGAAGTGTGTCGCAAACCAAAGGGTGGGGTGGTCTCTGAGGGTGGCGAATGCAGCATAGGGGTCGAAAACTCCTAAGGGCATCCACACATAGATAACAGGGAGACACATGTCATCAGGCTCAATGAGGGTAGGGAACTGAGAGCGAATAGAACCAATGACCCTAACAGATAGACCATCAGGGCGGGTAATGCTCGACTAAGGGGTGACCGCTATGGAGGGTCGACCATAGGAATAAGGGAGCCTGGTATACTGGGCGCACCTAGATGAAGCATGCGGGGCTGCCTAACTAGGGCGTGAGGGCCGGCGAAGGGTAGAAAGATGATGGGTAAGGGAATCATGCAAATGACTCATAAAGTGAGGGAAGTAGGAGCTAGATCCGTAAGATGGGAAGCCAGGGCAACGCTACGATCCCGATGCCTATGAGTATACCAAGGGAGAGCCCAACTCAGAGGAACCCGGCTAAAGGGAGACCATCATGCGACACAAGCAGGGTACTGTACAGGGTAGAGTGGTAAGAGAGTGGCGACGTCTGAAGTAGGCGGAGCTGATCGTGATGAAGTCCATGAAGCTGCCGATGACGTCCACGATGAGAAGTCCGGAATGTCGTCGAGGAAGAGCCGCGGCGTCGACGAGCAGAAGTAGCAAAACTGATGTGGATGGAGTACCGAGAAGTCAAAGACATGGGAAGGTAAGTCAGAGTCAATCGTCGTATCGAGCAGGACGACGACGAGTGCGCTGTGGACGCTCAGAAGCATCCGACTGCTGCTGAAGGGCTGCCTCAGATGGAGCAGGCTCGACTTCAGCGGTCTCCTCAGCCGGAGGAGAAGGAGGAGGGTCAGTGGGCTGAGGAGGAGCAATGGACCCAGCACGACGAGCACGGTCATAGGCACGCACCAACATGCGAGCGTGCTGCAAGTGCTCGAGGGGCTCCCAGGTAGTCTCCTCATCAGGGTAACCCTTCCAACGTACGAGATACTCGACGTGGGGAGGGTTGTCGTCGGTGACTCGGCAACCAATGATGTCTGAAATGAGGAACTCCTCGTGACCGTTCACCATGATGGGTGGAGGGCGCTCGTATGGTCGTCCAGCGAAACGCTCAGACGGTCTGCGGTAAGGACGCAGTAACGAGACGTGGTAGACATCATGCACACGAGTCTGGCGTAGGTAGTCGGACAGCTTCACACGGAAGTTGACCGGGCTAGATGCCATATCAGAACCGAAGGCCTGGAGGATGCAGCATGGGCCAAAGAAGCGACGCCGAAACTTGCGAAGCGTGTCCGCTTCGAGCTGTAAGTGGCGGACGTCGATAAACACATCATCACCGACTTTGAATGGATGATCCATCCTCGATCGGTTCGCACGTGCTGCCATGCGAGTCTGGGAATCGGCTATGTGCTCATGTGCGGTCTTCATGATCGACGTCATGTGTTGAACCTAATCATCCAGCGCAAGACAACTCGTGTCGGGGTGCAGCTGGGACGGTCGAAGGAAGTCCGAGGGAACACGAGGGTGATAGCCGAGGTCGCAATAGTAAGGCGACATCCCCGTGGCTGGCGAGACGGCGTGGTTGTAGGCTATCTCCGCGTGGGCAAGATGAAGATCCCACTGCTGGTCGTCATGAACAATTTTTCGAAGAATATCTCTGAGAGTCCTGTTCGTGATCTCGGTCTGACCATCAGTCTGAGGATGGTAAAACGAGGAGAAGCGGAGCTGAGTGTCGTATACCTTGTGGAGCCGTCGCCAGAATCGGCTGGTAAAGCACGGGTCACGGTCAGATATGATGCTTAGAGGTAAGCCGTGGTCATGCATGACTCGGTCAAACACGATGTCGGCGACCTCACGTGCACTGATGGCATAGCGGCACGGAACAAAGCGTGCACGCTTCGTGAAGCGGTCGACGACGACCAGGATAGCATCATGACCCCGAGGGGTCGGAGGACGAAGAGGACCGATAAAG